GTAAGTCAAAGAAAACAAGTGTCTTTTTTGTTACTACTTAGTACTTGTTAGCTTAAAGTACAATAAAAGAAAACAAACTAAACAAAAAAAAAAAAAAAACAATTCACAGCCTTTCTTTCAAGAATTTATTGTATTTTATAATTGCTCTTAGACGATGACGATGATGACGATGATGATGACGACGATGACGACGACGATGACGATGACGATGACGATGATGACGATGACGATGACGATGACGACGACGATGATGACGACGACGATGATGATGACGACGATGATGACGATGATGATGATGATTATCATAAAGGCTCTATTTGCAGCCTGTGCCACTTCTGTGAGGTTGGTGATGTCAATCCTTCCTCGCCTTCCATCACATCAGATCCCCAGTAAGTAAATAAAAGTAACCTTCTATTGTTGTCTTGTCTTTCAGCATTGTGATGAATGTGACAAGTGTCCCTGCAAAGAAGGAGACAAGTCTGAACACTGTGACGATTGTAATGTAAGTCATTAGTAAGGTTGTACACTGTTGGTTCCCCCCCACACACATAACATCGGGTCCCTGTTGTTTCCTCCACAGATGTGTCGTTTCTGCAATGTATGCCCTGTCTGCCAAACAGTCTGTAAGCCAGGTAAGAGCATCCAGCAATATCATTCAAAGTTTTACTCTCACTCCCATGAACCAGTTTTACTGTCTTCAAAATGTGAAAAACAGAATGAGTTCATTTTACACTGTTTGCAGCAGTCCAAATGTACTGCATAATCCATTCTGAGCATCCTAATTATTCACTGTGATGAGTTTATAAGCCTTTTCACAGAGACCAGAGCTGAGTTTACAGTCACGGTAAAGCTAACAACTATTAGCATACTAACAGCACGCTTCCTGTTTGGAAGAGTCAGATGCAGACAGCAGATATGTGTCTCATTTTCACCCCAAGAGCTGTGTTTACAATGTATTTGTAATGGGACAAGACAATGAAAACAATCAATAAATGGGGTAAAATGCCTCTGTCACTCAGCGTGATGAAGACTAACCCACAGGAAGAGTGAGAGCAGCAACAAATGTCTCACAGCTGGAAGGTTCTCCCTAGACCCTGTCAGGGTTTCCTGAGTGTTTTTTTCATTGAATTAAAACATGCTCAACGGGCTGATCCTCTGATACATTAAATTCACCCTCTGTTGCTGATCTGAGCTTTATAGGTGGCAGAGAGGGCTGAGTATCTCTCATTTGTTACCAAAGTCTCTTTTTTGGGATCATAGTGGTATACGTTTGAAGGGTTTATGGAGTATTATTATTGATCCCCATGGAGACATCTGTCCTTTGCATTTGACCCTTTCCAGAAAAGTGCTGGGAAAACCCGTCAGACACTGTGGACAGTCAGGACTATTTTAGGATTTTTCATATTTTGTATAAAGAAAATCCACCCAGACCAGGGAGGAACATGTACTCTACGCCACTGTGCAAGTACCACCCCTAACAGGAGGACGAATTTCCCTGTGAGGACAATACATGGCGCCACCTAGTGCCTCCACTCAATTTCATTTCCTCTCCAGCGACTAGGTCAGGAATCAGAATACACTAGACGGTTCACAAAAACCCCGAAAGTGCAAGTTTGGGCACCAGCCAATCACTGAAGAGCCATATATTTTGTGTTGTCAACGATTCCTGAGATTGAAGATTTAAAGCCAGAACAAAGATAATGTTTGGTAAATTTCATCAAGGAGATAGACGTTATTGTCCTTGTTCCTACGGGATTTTGGGAAAAGCTTAATATACCATTTAACCCCGTTAGCGACCCATTACATACGTCATGACCAAATAGCAGCAATTGGTTAAATTTAAAAAGTACCTGCCTACAGTTGAGCGAACGAATCCTAACACTGTGAGGTCAGACGGTTTCTCCGAAGTGAAACCATCTGATGAATCAGGCTAAATACATTGACAACACACTGACAGCATATGGGTGCATGTGAGCAGAGAGTTGCATTCAATAGAAAAGCACTGAATCACAATCAGGTCAAAATCATTTGGACCTTCAATCATGTAAGACTTACAACATTCACAGCAGAGGCTCCCAGGCTGCTTACACTTAAGTGTGCAATGATTTGATTATACAATATGCCCTTTTCCTTTTGTTGTAGGTGGATTTATTGATGAGGTAACGGGATCTATTTACAAGTAAGTGCACATTCCATTCTAAACATGCCCCTTGTTGTGTTGTAATCCAAGCTCACCTCTGTATTGTGGAACACTCCCAGGACTGTAGCCGATGTGTTTGATGATGAAGAAGACAACTGAGGAGTCTCAGGTTCACTCTCACAGTCTCACTGTTCTATGTGCCTTTTCTGTCAGCAGTAACATTTGTATCGACACCAGTAACTGAATGTTTTTTAAAGAAAGTATATAATATATTTGTTAGCATTTCACAATGTACTTCTAAGAGAGATAATTTATTTACAGTCATATTTTGCCCTTTTTAAAAAACAACAATTTGAAATAAAGAACTATTTTCCTTTGTTGTCTTGTTATTATATTATATTAGAACACAAGGAACACAGCACATAGCACTGTCCAAAACAGAAACTTAATCATCACATGAATAAACAATACTTCAAACATTTACAGAGCTATTTATCTTACAACATGTGTAACGTCATGTAAGGTAAAGTTCACTTTATTGTCCCTGGAGGGACATTTGTTTTGTGCTTTGGGACTCTTGGTCAGCACGGGCAGAACAGAAGATTTCGCATCATCCTTTAAGGTGAAGATGTTTTAGAATTTTTTCATCAAATGAGAAGACGTACATGCTCGATTCTAACTTTGTCTTAGTAAAAATATTTCAAACATAATCATTCTCTACATGTGAACTTTGAATGTGTAGAATTGAAGGTTAGAGGAAGAGACAAAATCATTTTACACAAATCACTCAAATACAGAGGTTGACTTAATAGTCACAAAAATACAAATACTAAAAGTAGCTCCACACAGATAGGTTAAAAAAAAAAAAAATCAAGAACAAACTGTAACAAAAAACAAATTGTAAGATGTTCAAAGAATGATTTTCATAATTATTACCTACACTATACACTACCAACCAAGAATCAATCTGATAGCAACAAAATCAAAATGTCAAACCAAATGAAGTCTCTCCTTTCCATCAATAATACACTTATACACTCTGTTTAAAAGCTTCCAGTCGCTATATTTAATTATTTATTTGGTTAATAATGTGTGTAACATGAATATTAACTATTCAATTTTACCGATTCATAAAAAAGTAATATTAGGCTACTAAAAGAGTTGCAGCCTGCTTGCAATTAAAAAACAAAAAGACTGACAAACATATACATAAACATATAAATAAAACATACATTACAGTGCCATAGTCACTGGTTAAATTATGGTTAATATAAAGAGTGCAGTGCAAGTCAAATCCAGTATGAAGCATAGACCGTATATATTAGTATATATTTTATGAGTTTATATCGATCTATATCACAGGTATCAAACATAAGGCCCGGGGGCCAGATTCGGCCCTCCAAGACCTTTAATGTGGCCCTTGGGTGATTTTCTACTAAAATATTTTAATTATATTTTCTATTAAAATATTGGTAATTTTCTGCGGTGCTCAGCATAGCAGCGTCTCCAGCGTCTCTGTACGTGGCCCCTCCCACCAGAGCAGCACAAATGAAGACTTGTCTCTTTCCAAACGCTCTTAAAGGACGATCGTTTTGACTGTTGACCGTGACACCCTCATCAGAAAAATTTCAAAAATGAGAAAAGTGGAGCTGAGTGCAGGATTTCCCAAGATAAATAGACTTATTCTTATTTACATACAAGTTCATGTTAAAACATTGTGTTGAAATTGAATTTTTAATAATAATTTAATTATTTTTTAATTAATAATTTTAATTTATAGTTATTTTTGGGGTTTATATGCCATGAGTTTTTTGATCCGGCCCCTTTGGGATTAAAGTAGGTTGGATATGGCCCCCAGACCAAAATGAATTTGACGCCCCTGATCTATATCGTTTATCTTTTATACAGTCTGTGTCTAGTGATGTTGTCCTGCCCTGCTGGAGGCGGACACTAGGGGGCTGTCGTCCTCTTTGAGCCTGACCCTTGACAGTGGTTGGTAGAAGAAGCGGCTGGTCGGCGCATGCGCAGGAGGCGCCGCAGTGCCAGTCTTACCAAACAAACTTGTTTGAGCTCAGGCTCAGTGCGCGGCTCCGGACACAGCCATGGCCCTGGACAGGCTGTGCAGTCCGAACGGTTCGGATCCTCTATGGGTGAGCCACTGTCATGTCTCCGCTCTTGTAATCCGCAGAATGTTTGTTGTGTTCTGAACGTCCCGAGTGCTCATCTGATAAGACCCAGACATTGTGAGGAGAAACCGGCCGGGACAAAGACCTGTACAAATGCTGGGCTCCGGTGTTATATGGTTTTGACAGGGATGGCACCTGTGTTCATATTACTGTTCTACCAGGTACTTCACAGAGTGAAGTGTGAACATGCGAACCAGAGTGTGACGGAGTGTATTTTCAGCAGATCTGTGTGTAAGCTCTGCACAGGTGGACTGTCTGGTGAATGTATCGCCCTTATTCGACTCTTACATAGACCCATTTTCATTCAGTGTGTCTCTTATGTCTGTCTTCTGACATGCTGCTGTAATGACCTGGCATGGTTAAGAACAACTGGACACCTTTGTTTTTAAATCCCATAAAGATACTTGTGTTGTACAGGACTGGAACCTGACATGGCACACAGAAGAGCCAGAGCTGACCCAGTGCTTCCAGAAGACCGTCCTGGCATGGCTGCCCTGTCTGTACCTCTGGGGATGCACCCCCTTCTACCTCCTCTACCTCCACAGACACAACAATGGCTACATCTGCATGAACCATCTTAATAAAGCCAAAACTGTAAGTTGCTTTGATTATTCTCAAATTCTATTTATTATTCTTAATTTCTATTTATTCACCTTCAGTCAACATGATTTATTTCTAACAGTCCTGTCCCTGCTCTCTGTTACAGGCTGTGTCTCTTGTCCTGTGGATTGTCTGCTGGGCAGATGTCTTTTATTCTTTCTGGGAAAGAAGTCATGGGCTTTTACCCCCACCAGTGCACTTCCTCAGCCCCATGGTGCTGGGCATCAGCATGGTCAGATTCAGTCATTAACTTTAGCATTTCAGCTCACCTCACTACAATCTTACCTGAACGCTGGATCTAGATTCTGTATTGATTCTGTGTAAACATATCAAGAGTTGAAACTGAACTACCATTATAGCCAAAGAAATGCTGAAAAGTAAACATTAAAGTACAGCTAAAGCTCATTCGGTTAAATACCCACAGTCAAGACCTTATTGTCTCTGTATGGAAATCTGTCCTCTGCATTTGACCCATCCTTCAGTGCAGCTAGAGCAAACTGTCAGGAGTCCAGTAAGAGGAATATTGTTGACAGAAGATGTGTCCCTGTCACGTGGTCAGATAGGTGTTAGTGATTTCTAAAGTGCGTAACAGTGGTGCGTGTGCTATGCTGTGTGCAGCTGCTGAGTGCTCTGCTGGTGCAGTACGAGCGCATGAAGGGGGTGCAGTCGTCTGGAGTGCTGCTCATCTTCTGGCTCTTGGCTCTGCTCTGTGCCACTGTGTCCTTCAGGTCCAGGGTTCTTCAGGCTCTGGAGCAGGTACATACACCCACTGACCCTGTACACATGCGTGAGCGCTAGGGCTGAACCATTTGGGAAGAATATCAAATTGCTATTTGTCTGAAAAGGATTATGATTGCAATTAGAATAGTGATTTGTTTTTGTAATATTATTAAATAAAAAATGTGTTGAGGTGAACCGACAAGTTTTTAAGCTGAAATAGATTGGATATTTTGTTGTTTGTTTTATGGTTCTTCAAAATTGCACCATTTACAATTTGGTAATTGAATCCATTCAAATTGTGATTTTGATTAACCTTGCAGCCCTACTGTGAACCATACCAGAATTCAATTACTTCAAAAACAACTGTGAATTACTGCTCGTACTGCAGCATTATTATAACCTTATTAAAGCAAGAATAACTGTATCAAAAAACCTTAAAAGGTTAAATCAAGCAGATGCAAGATATTAAAAAAAGCATATTAGTCAGTATGAAAGGCAGTAGGCGCATCATTGGCGATCATGCAATAGCACTGTCTTCACAGTAATGGTCCCTGACCAGTACCTGTAGTGTCCTTCACATTCCATTGTAGTCCAGTGCCGTGAATGAGCCTGTGTTTTCCTCAGCCCTCTCTAGTGTGTGTTTGGAGGTACACAACCTTCTTCATCTACTACATACTTCTGCTGGTTGCCTTGGTGTTGTCCTGCCTCTCCGACAAGCCTCCGCTCTTCTCCCAGGCCATAAAAGATACGGTAAGCCCAAATACTTACAAGAATCCAGATTTTGATGGCACTGCATGAATATCAATGTATTCATTTACTTGTGGCAAATCTAAGGCAGGAAATCACACGGCATGGTACATAAGTTTTTGTTGTGATTAGTGCTGTCATGCGATTAAAAAATTTTAGAGATTAATTAATTAATTATGATCTGTAATTAATTAATCTAATTAATCTCATTTTAATCTCACCTAAAAATTGCTGAGAAAAGCCTTCAATTTGAGGTAATTTCATTTAAATTCATTATTACATTATTGTGGCAGATCAAAAGACTGATATAGATTTAAAAAAAAGTGACTTTATAAAGTAATTTATTGTTTAACAAATCTCTCCAAATTGGCTGTTGAGCCCAAGTCTCCATGAATAAGAAACTGTTTGCTGTAAAGTAGCAAAGACGAGGAAATCTGAACATAATAACTTTTGTCTACTTAAAGACAATAAAAAGTCCAGTCTTTCCTTAACCATATTAAAAATATTATTGATAGAGAAATGCTTTATATATGAAATCACTGGTTTTAGTCCTTGTTTTAGACCTGCTTTAGTCCTACTTTAGTCCTAGTTTAGTCCTGGAATGGATTAATCCTGGTTTTAGTCCTGGTGTTATTCCTGGTGTTAGTTCTGGTTTAGTCTTGGTTTAGACCTGATTTAGACCTGATTTAGACCTGGTTTTAGTCTTGGTGTTAGTTCTGGTTTAGAGGCGCACAGGACGAAGTGCGGTTTACGCAGCCTACGCGAGAAAACACGATCCACACGCGGTTCACGGGAGCACGTCGGTGTCCGCGCAGTGTCTACGGAAGGAAACGTGGTCCGCGCGTTCTCAGGTTAATGACGATGATGAAGGTGTGTGTTTGTTTGTGTGTTTGTGTTTGTGTTTGTGTGTGTTTGTGTGCGTGTCCCCTCATGTGGCAGGTCACTATAGGACAGTAGTGCAGACATCATGAGCCTATGCAGGTTGTTTTCACCAGTGACATTTAAGTTGTAGGCGATATTATATTTGTTATTTTCTTTTATATTTCACGTCGGGAGAATAATTTCCAAGACACGAATGTGTTTTTACCTGTGCACTGCTGACTCTGT